CTCTGCTGGCGCCATCTCAGAAATACAAACACTTCTCCTTGAGAGCTCTTGGAGGGCAGGTGAGGTACCAGAAGACAGCAAAAAAATGTAAACATGGTGTCTATCTCTAAATATAGAGGGAGAAAAGAGGAGTAAGAATTACAGACCAGTCAGCTTCTAGAAGCTTTCAAGAGAATTGAACTATCAATCAAAAAGTTTGCAAGCACCTAGGAGATAAAAAGGGAGATGAGTGACATCCAGCATGGATTATACAAAAATGAGGCATGTGAAACTAATCTCATTTGATTTCTTGGCAGAAGTAGGAGAGGAATAGTTGGTGCCATATCTAGATTTTGGGTTGACACGGTCCCACTTGACTTTCATAAAGTGACCTGGAAAAACAATCTAGATAAAACTACTTCAGATCTTACACAATAGTGGATGAGTAGCATAACTCATTCCTCAGGAATACAGTTACCAATGGCTCGTGGTCAGAGCAGAGGACTATCAGCCAGGATTCTGCAGGGGGCTGCACTGATTTCCTTCAAAATTTTCATCAATGAAAAATGGATGAAAATGCATAATTACACCTGGCAGTGATGTGGAGCTGGGAGAGGTGGAACTTCAGCACATCGGAGCATAAGTGTTACATCTTAAAATGATCTTAGCAGGTTAGAGAAGCGAGGACTGGGTCTAGTCTGGGGCGCTGAGCCTCAAGAAGGACAAGGACCCGGTTGAAGAAGGTGTAGGGTAGAGTCATTGCATTTACTAAACCTGGCTTAGGTCGGAAGGGCTGGAAGGAAAGTGCCGGAATAGCTTGTCTGGGACTGGAGTGGGGATGGTGGGAAACTGTAGCCTCTGCTCCAGGAGGTTTTCAGAATAGATGGACAAGAATTCCCCCCAGGAGTGGTCTAGGCAAACTGGCTCCGTGCTTGGATCAGCCCCAGGCTGAGCTCCAGCCCTACCGCGCTGGAGCTGCCGTGTGCTTTGTTCAGAGCTGCCGTTTCACAGCCGCTGGGGCAGTGCGTGTCAGCGGGGACATACGGCAAAATTATCTTTGGCTTTGCCTTTTTAATACATTCGTTTTGTAGTGAAAGGCTGAAGGCATGTAAGTGCTTTGTTGAACGGAAGCCAAAGCGAGCTGCTACGCAGAATGCACCCCCTGTTTCCAAGTATTTCATTTATTTTGTAATTAAGCAATAATCGCTGAGACACTGGGCACTTCTTCAGGATTAATGACTTGCTGGGGGATGGCAGAAGATCTGATCTGCAGTGGAACCATTTTCCCCAGCAAATACTTGTCTGTTAATGCCATTCTAAAATGAGTATGACAACGTAGCATGCAAACATATGGGGTTTGCTGTTAGCAGCTGAGGGATAGGGAGCAGGCATCAATAGGTACTTTTGACAATCAGGTTGCTTCAGTTGTCTCTCACCATTCCATTCAGAGCACGGTGTTTCATTAGTCACTTGGTGAATGAGATGGCTTTTTAATTGCTCAGAATCACTTTTTAAAATTACAGCATTGTCTCCCCCTTCCACAGCCCCGGGGGATCCTCTTAAATCCCTTTTCTTCCTTTGCCCTGGAGAGAACCGGCAATAGTGTGGCAAAGAGGAACCTGCCTGCAGCAGTTTCCTTTGTGTTTCAGACACAGGAAAAAATACAAGCCATTTAGAAAGCAGAGGGTTCACATTTTTAGTGCTGAAAACCCTCTGTTCCCATTAATTTGCAGGTTGCTTAAGGAGTAGCCCACCCTGCCTGAACCTGTGAAGACTTCCCAGTCTTAGTCCCAGCACACTGTGCATTTTTAGTGGTCACAGCTCACTACAGTATCCAAACCCCACTGCTTCTTGTGGCCTGCGGCACACAAGCTGGCACAAGCCATCCCCCATAACAGCATACCTCCCAAGAGTGTTGTTGGAGCTTTAGGCAGTAAAGCACAATAACGGGCAGGAAGAAAAGGGTATCCCAAATGGGTGAGCAGCAGCGTGAACGTTTCCAAAGGACTATGGAAAAAGCTGCCATGGGAGTTCTGCCATCAGATCGCCAAGGTAAGCAAGAGGAGAAACATTTGCTAAAAGCATATGGGACGATAAACCAGTTCACAGTGTCCTAGCAGGCTTTGGAACGGCACTAGTCAGTGGGGATTTGCTCGCTCAAATATTAGGTAGTGTGCTAACTGCATGATTGATTAATCCGTAGGTACTTCCTACAGCAAAACTTCAGTACTGTCACCCACAGTGCCGCTTTCAGTCACCATGGCTGCCTTCCCAGAGAGATTTCACAGAAGAACAAGCAGGGTGTTTTTTCTACACAGTCTTTTTTGCCCCCTTTAAAAGTGATGCTTTTACATCTGTGCATTGAACGATGGCAGCATGTTGCCCAGTCAGCAGTATGTTCACTGAGGGATCCCAGAGCCACGTTCCGTCGCTTAATTCTGCCCCTTCAGCACAAGGAGCCCTGCTACTTGATAGGGAGCTTGCTGGCTTGGAGTGTTTAGAAACACTGAGTATTTAAAAGTGAAAATGTCAGGCAACAACTTCATGACACAAAGCCAGAGACAGTTCAAACTCTGAAGACCAAAGCTCACCTCTTTCCCTATACGGCTGCTCAGCCCTCTGTTTGCCACATCAAGTCCCTAGTTGATGCTTGTCAGTGACAGGCAGAAACAAAGTCAGCCCAAGGTGTGGGCAGCACTCCGATCTCCACCAGCATGGTCAATGGCTGGATCAAACAAATTTCAGCTGCATCCTCTTGTGGCACTTACACTGCTCTTCATGCCTGTCCTCTTCTCACCCCTTTCTTATCCCCCTCTTACCTTTCCTTCTCTTAGTTGCCCCAGAACCAACGTTTAGTCCCCCCTGCCCCAAAATCCATCCCCGAGCCAACCAACCAGAAAGAATGAGTTATTTTTGGTGATGCTTTTGCTAACTGCCTGCCTCCCACGGGACCCCTGCACTGCCGACCTTCTTGCTGTCATGCTCATAGCTGGGAGGAACTGGTGCTGTACCGTCTCTTGAATTCAAACAGGATTGATGCAGATCCTTGTGCTTCGTGCCAGCCACAACTCTTCAGGCTTGACTGCAACTTTCGACAAAGAACATATTTCCCAGAAGTTCACCAACTTGTCTGAGTAACAGTAAGTGATCCATGAGATCCAGTGCTGGCACATGGCTCTGCTGGCCTTCCACCTTCCTTGTTACTCAAATGCTGCTACTCCAAACCTCGGAGCAAGCACTGGATTCACATGAAATAAAAGTTACAGACCACAGGATCTGGTGTTGCCCATAACTCTTCATCAAAATCGAAACTAGCTACAGAAAAAATGTTGCCAAATTGGCAAATCTAGGTTTACTAAGTCAAAAAGGTTTTCATCCACCCCTGCTCTTTTCAGCCTGAGTGAGACAAACCAGCAGCCCCTCATGCTCTTTCCAGCACACCAGCACCATTCCTCCTTCCTGGAGCTGGGGTACCCAAGCAGGGGGCTCTGCCCACTTCCTCAGATCAGTAGCTTAAAAATTTCCTGGACACCATTTAATTTGAACTACTGCCTGTCTTGTGCTGCCTTCACTTGTAGTCATGTTTTTCCAGGACTCGGAGGGCGTTGGAGCAGCTCCTCCCAGGAGCTCAGTGTTCACTGATGAGTGAGCAAAGGCTGTGGTGGGGAGAGCAGAGAGTCGGCCGCTTGTGTTCAAAAACCTTTCCGTGAGCTTCACATCACGGGAAGTCGATCGGTGTCTTTGTCAGCATGTTTCTATCGGCCTTGTTCTTCACGTAGTCATCTGTTACTAACACGGGGCTGGCATCCAGCCCTGTTCTCCAGCGCCGTCCCAGCACTGTATCTATTGCAAGCTCGCTGCGATCCCCGCTAGCGCTCCTTCTCCCCAGGGGGGTTGGGACCCCTGGTTTGTGTCTGTCTGGTTTAGAAAAAAAGGAAACAAAAATCCTGTTACCGACAGGATGCTAGGTTTTATCAGTGATCAGATCTGTTACTGAAGGACTCTCCGTTGTCTGGTGAGATCTGAGGATGAGCAAGCGAGGACTTCATTTCGGCTAAGCAGATCATCCTCTCTGTCAGTATTTAAGAGACAGAATCACAACTTTGGTTTTCACTGGGAAGAATTATTGTCAAACACAATTTGCTCTGCAAATCCTAGCTGTTTCGTAGACACACCCGGGCTTACTTCTTGAGTTACTTAGAGATGAAGAAATTATAGAGGTCAGTCTTCTGACCTGAGCAAGGGGCTGCAAGAACTCACTCCATCAAATAGTTCCGTTTGCAGAATTTAATAGAGACCAACGCACAGAGCATCCAGCATGCAGAGCTGATGGGACGGTGGGTCTCATTCCCACGTTGCTTTGGGAAGGGATAACATAATGTGCCTTGAGGTGGCAAAACTCCCAGCACTGTTTTTAAAAGAGAAGGAAGGAAGGAGGAGGTGTGAAGGGTCGTAAATAATTTTAAGTGCTACATAGCTAAGTCAATTCCCCTACACATGCCTGTGTCCCCAAGCGTACAGGGGTATTTTGACTCTGGTTCCTTTTGTAAGGCACCCCAGGAGTTACTGTGAAAAGGACTAGACAAAAACTGGGATTTTCTATGTCTTGTTTCAGTGGTTAGGATCTGATCTGATGGTCATTGTAAGCATTGAACGTATTTCCATAGACCTTGACAGGAAGGGTAATGTAGGACCTGGAAACCTCCCTGCTGTGCCCGGTAAGCATGCGAACACGAGGCTCTCCAGGCTCTGGCATTTGCAGTTCAGCTGGGAGGGAGGTACCGTGTGCGCCCACCCTGCACAAAACCTCTTTGAGAGAGAGTAAAAGGGATGCTAATTCCAGTCACTGGGCTCAGACACACTACTGGTGAACAACCAGAAAGGTTTAAAAAGAAATGCTGACTGAATTAAGTGAATCGAGCTAGCAGATGTGCTCTTCAAAAGAGCACAGCTCTCTTTTAAATGTCTCTCCCATTGAAATGACATTCTCAAGAGATTTTTGTCCTTTGCGTTTTCTTCAGGATCATCCATGAGGATGGCTTCTCTGGTGAAGATGTGAAACAGTACAAGCCAGTGGTCTACAGCAACACTATACAGTCCCTGGCAGCTATTGTACGTGCCATGGATACCTTGGGCATCGAATACGGTGATAAGGAACGACGGGTAAGTTAAAATCACCACTGCTCGAGTACAGAGCACTGAAGGCTTGGAGGCTCGAGTGTAAACAGGAGACATTTGCACAATCTGAATAACTTGGAGGGAAAGAGGGGGAAGATTTACGTCACTGCTGTATGCCTGTTGCACATGCAGTTTGTGCAACAAACAGAGGCACAGGCGCAATTGCATATGACATGCCATTTGTACACCTACGCTAGGAAGTGTAGCCCTGGGGACCTCTGTGTCACAACAGCCACAATCTCTCATGCCTTGGCACTAGCCAGGCCAGTACAAAAAAAAATTCTGTTATTCAGGGACAGCCTAGATAGAGGTACTGACAGGCTTGGGCAAACAGTGAGAACATGTGCCCTGTCTGCTGTGCATGTGCTGGATACGCAGCCTGCAAGGAGAATGTCTCGGGGTGAAGTCTTGCTGCTGTTCAAATCCCTTCTACCAGCCTGCTAATACAGAAAAGCTTTTAGGATTAACTTGACTTTTGCAGGGGCTTGACTGGCTTTTACTCATTCATCCCCCATTCAAGTGTACCCAAACAACGATTTTGCTTGCAAACAAGAGGGTGTATTACTTCAGCGAGGTTCATACGAACAGGGTCTTAGGCAGCAGCGTTAGCATGCGTCTTACCAGAATAAGTAGGTGATGTCTTGCAGCCTTCTCATGCCACACACCTAGGCCAGCTTGTCCTTTCACAGTTGCTGCTCTGTTGTTACTTTAACCAGCTCCCTATTTTTAAACAGTGGCTCCTCTGTGGGGTGCCCCTGCCAGCCTCTGCCTTTCCTTATTGCATTTCTGGCTCAGACCAAGCCCACACAGAGAAACGCAGAGCCCTAGAAAAGTCACGACTATCGTTTTTGTATGCTGCTGTCCCAGGGAAAGTAAAACCACTTGGTTTCACTGGAAAGAAAATCATTTCAGATTAAAGACCTGGTAAAGGCAAAGTCCTATATGCCACTGAGTTTGTCATGACTATTTTTAGGTAGCTATCAAATGACAGATGTACGACATACCCCAAACTCCTTATCTGAGGGTTGATAATAAAAGCATTCACTAGAAAGGGTGCCAAAATCCTGCTGCGGTGTTACTGTATGAAAAGGCACCTTATTTCTCCCAATCGCAAAGGGGTATTTTGATTTCTTTGCATCTAGGGCTTTTTCCCACAGAAACTCTAAATCCTTGGAGACATTTCCATCCCAAACATAGAGATGATACCATAATGGAGTTCTTGTGAGCTTGCCGAGAACTAATGCTGATGGCTTTCGAACTGAATACATTAATCTGTTGATTACTCAGTGACTCAGCTCTCAGCAAGGCAACGTATCTTGTCTCAGCTAAAAACCTATGCCCAGGAAAACAGAAACAAATCATTCTCCGTGTCGGATAAATTGTGTGGCAGACAGCTTTAAAATGTAAATTTTTTTTTTTTTTTAATGCCTTAAGTCCTAATTCGAGGAAGGAAACTCAGTACTGCTTTAGTGCCAGGCCTGGCAAAGTATGGGGTATGGAGAGGGAGAGCTGTTATCAGGACTGTCACGAATGAGAGATGGAGTACTGGGCTGCACAAAATGTCACGTCCGTTCATATTCCTGTGGAAAAGATGCCAAATGTTCCTAGGATCATACGATAACTCAGGCTGGAAGGGAGCTCAGGAGGTGTCTAGCCCAACCTTCTGCTCAAGCAAGGTCAGCTCTGAGGTCAAACTAGGTTGCTCAGGGCTTTAGCCAGTCGGGTCCGAAATCCTCCAAGGATGGAGACTGCACAGCCTCTTTGGGCAACCTGGTTCACTGCTTTGCTGTCCTCGTGATGAAAAGGTTTCTCCTTATGTCTAGTGTGGACCACTCTTGTTTCAATTTATGCTTTATGGCAGTAGGGGTCCTGAGTTATGCCTTGCAAAGTAAAAAGCAAGTTAGATTAAGTCCTCCCCAACCTAGTTTCCCCTAAGCTATGTAGTCTGGAGGAATTACTCCTGTTTTACAGTGGTGTCATGCTGATTGTGTACAGACAAGCCTGCCACAAACCACTATAAACCAAACAACAGTCTGGGAGGGCTGACTCAGAGTATCTTCTCCCTTCTTAGATGGGAGTAATATTCCTTCATCCAGCAGTAAACAAAGGAGAAAGAAACCAAGTCTCTCAGGCTGTGCTCTTCCACTTGCTCCCTTTTCTTAGTCAACCTCCACAGAAAGTTGCTGTGTTAGTATGAAATACTATTTATTTTAATCTTTCAAAGAAGCACATGGCTTCTGCTACCCTGCTTTTGTTATTAATGCACAGCTGCTATAAAGAGAGGCCATTAAACAGGCAATTTGTTCAGTATTATGCTGCATGGTTCATCCCTTTTCAAGCAAAGCTTTTCCATTTTAAAAGTCATTCCTCAGCCAAGGGTTTCCAATGCAAATCTTTCAGTGGGGAATTTTCCCCTACTCATCACTTAAGCCCCCAAGAGAAGAGAGCTCAGCAAGGGGAGCCAGGGCTGTGGCTGCTTGAGCCTGATTCAGCAGCAGGGAAGGAGGGGGCACAGGCCCAGGACAGGTTTTCCCCAGGCACTGCTTGGCTATTACAGCTTTCCCCCCTCCCGACCTCATGGGAGATGGATCTGCCCCTGTCTCCCTTCCAAATGGCACCCTGACAATGTTTGGAGCAAAAAAACCCCTCTCTCCTACTTAATAAATGTGAATGAGATGGTTTGTACTTTTGTTATTGAGGTAAAATAGCCAAATCCTCTCTCACTGTTCTCATTTTTCTCCTGCCCATAATTATATCTCCAGTATTAAGTCTAACAGAAGCAAAAGAGTGGGGGGAGAGTCCAGACTAAACCCCTTCGATTTTGTCAGTCAAAGTGAGATCAATGTAGGACATACGAGCAAAAAGACAAATCAAAAAAAGCAGATGTTCCAGGTCTCACTGACCCTTTCTTCTGATAAGGACCTGTCCTCAGGTTAAGAACAAAACAGTCTGTGTGTAGGATTTCACTTTTACATATACTCCTTTATCAGGGGAGCAGGTTTTCTTGCAGCTGTGCCTGGCTCACGAAGGGTGCATGGCCTGTGGGCAGCACCTAGCTCTTTGTTTCATATCCTTCATCGAAGGGAGGCAGGAGTACATCCTGCCAGGTCCTGGCACGTTATCACCACGCACAGCTTGGAAGGTCAGACTGAAACTCTGGAAAAGCCGTGGAAGTGCAAAGTTACAAATCCTTTACATGTTGCAAGAGGGCAGGTGAAAAAGAAGCAGTCAGTGAGGAGACAGGAGCCGGCTGCGGGGGGAGCAGAGTCCGTGGGTGCTCCTCATCTCCAGGGCCATCACTGCCCCGGGTCGGGATCCCCAATTAGCCAAGAGCAAGGGGTTATAACGAAGGAAGAGGGGCAGAGGCTTGGTCTTGCCTGGCTACTCCAGACTCTCTGGCTGGCCCATAGGGCACTCACTACTCAATCCTTACCCTTATAATCAGATTAACGGACAGGAAAGAGTCAGGCCGTAACATGTAGGCGCTGGATTAAATGGTTCTCTAAAGTGCAAACGTATTAATAACGCAAGCTCCTCGCTGTACCCAGGTGGAGCAAATGGGAAATGGAGATTTAAAGCCAGGAATCTAGAAGTCAGTACAAGTGTTTGGTTCTGATCAAGCAGGAAGGGCAGGGAAGTGATGGATTCTCATCTCCGTCTGAAGAGCCAGTTCTGAAGTCTGGCTTCAGAAATACTAAAGAGAAGAATCTTGAAGTCTCTTCCTTGGCAGGTCAGTGCTGACCTCAGAAGTTGCTTGGAAATGCAGCACCTAAAGTCCCACTTGGGCAAAATGCCAGAGCTGCAGCCAGGCTGGGGGACCTGGGGGTGTCCGCAGCTTGGAGTGGTCCTGGGCTGCATCGAGCCTGCCCAGGCAAGCTGCCCTGCACAGGCTGGTGTGAAAACAGCTGCAGAGCATGTTCATATTAGCATAAACCAGAAAGAAGCAGGCTGAAATTGTTCAGAGAATCCAAATATCAGTCGCGTGGCTCAGATACAAGTGTGTGAGGTGGCAGGGTCACAGGTCCTGCGCTTGGGGTCTGGAGGTGGCAGGCGGTGACTTTCAAATGGAACTTTTTTCCCAGTGGGAGTCTGGAAATGTCTCTGCTTTAACTGTGAATGGGAAAACTAAAAAGCGGCTAAAGTGTTAAAAAATTCCAGTAGAGAATTTTTTTCTTTCAGGTTTTATAGTAAAATGTGTCTGTGGTGACCTTATGCTGTATACAGTGTGTGACTCCTGAACTGTGAGCTAAACAAATATGTACCCGGCCATTTAAAAATACTGGCTAGTAATATTAAAAAACCATCTTTTTAGTGTAATTGAACAGCCCACCCGAGGCAGCTGTTGAAGGGGACCACGTGCACTGGAGCTGTGTCTCACCTGCTTCCGAGCAGCGGGGTGCATGCAGAAACCCAGCCCCTCCAGCCAGGTCCCCTCTGCACGTGCCAAAGGCAGGGGCAGGGTGGAAGGCAGGAGCAGGACGGGGGATGCAGCCGCGGTCACCTGCTGCCTTCCAGTCGCTGGAAGGGAGCAGCGTGTGGGAGGAGCTCTCTTTCATAAGACCTGCTCCAGTGTAACTACTTGTCAGCTCAAGATATTTGTGGATTTTCCTTCATTTCAGGCAGGTATCTGTTCAGACCAGCTGGCTCCTACTGCATGTCCCTAACTGAAGCTCTCTGAGAAATGCAAAAAAGCTGATAATAACTTTGGGGGAGGGCAGGTGAGGTTAATCAGGCACCACCGTGCTGGTAGGAAGCTTCCGCTTGATGGCTGGTAGCAATGGGGTGATCTGGGGGATGGATGCAGGATTCCTGGGTTTCTGACACTGCAGTGATGATATGGCCAACCCTTGCTGGTCTGCAGTTGTAAGCAGTGGAAACTTCACCACAGTGAAGCGTAACTTAGGGCAGCTTTGTAGAGGAGCAGGCTGGAGCGGGAGAAAAGGAAAGATGGACTGAGGGGGGCATTAGCCACCCCATTTTTGCCT